TTAGGAAAAATAAATTATGTTAAAATAAAAAACTTACAGTCAAAAATAAAGTTCACAATTGAGAAAAACATTACCAAAAATATTATCAAAAATTTTTAAACATGTTGAAACGGAGAAAATTTTTAATGCGCAGCAAAAATATTTTAAAGGTCAAAAGGTAAAACGTGGTTGAAGACCAAAAAACTATTTATAAGAGGTTAAATCTAAAAATATAAAGCGGTTAACGATAATAACAAATTAAAAATATAAAAACTTACGAAAAGGCGAAGATAACAAATTTAGGATAGGCTGCGAGACTTTTAAGGTAAAAGGCCGAAAAACGTTAGAAAAATTTTAAAATACGTTAGAAAATACGTTAGAAAAATATACGGACAAATTAAATTAAAATATGGCTAATTGAATAAAATATTTTAAATGTAAATTTATGTAATAAGTAATAACACACTACCTATGTATGTAAATAATAAATATTATTTATTTGTAAGTGAACAAATCCTCATTCAAACAAACTCCCTCCCAATTCGGCACACATTTGAAGACGAGTTCTAAATGCTTTATAAGAAGTACGAATTTCCGCCAGTAGTAGAGATTCTATCGCTTTTATTATTTTTAGTTTTAGTAGTTCTGCATCATCTTGCAATGATTCACGGTAAGTAATTTGTTTCAATCGTCCCCAAAAATAAAAATCCGAGTACGAGTACTGTAATTATGCTCTAGCCCACGTGTGATATACAGCATTTTATCTACGACTGCTAAAAATTACTAAAAAATCAATTTCTTTAAAAAAGTCTATTTGACATTTATAAAAATATTTTGAAATGATTGTTGACAATTTTGAATTAATGTTAGTTTTAATAACATGTGTCAATAACATAATAATTAATGTTTATAATAAATAGTATTGTTTCTCTTTAAATAGGTAGCACTTTTTCTTTTGTATTGTTGCTCGTTTCAATAAATTAAGTCTGTTCTGAATGGGCCAAAAATGCGTTACGTAATGAAACCAGTGCGGTAATGAACTTCATTACGTAACTCAAATCACCTCAAATGAGTGTGGTAATGATGATTTATCTAAGCAGTCGTAGATAAAATACTTTATCTACAACTATTGAATTTTCTATTCGTTATGCATTTGATTTTTGACTGGTAATGACACGCATTACTCGCACGACTGACAAGTGTTGAATAATGAAGCCATTATTCCACAGTTCTGACACGACCTACTAATCAAAAAATAATATAATATAACAGAAATAATAGCTTTCTTATATTGAGATTATGTACGAAATGTCTATCAATACTATTACTATACTATTACCTGCTACTAAATGCGGTTTGCTAGACAGTAGCACAAAGTGTCACTTTACTGCCACAAATGGATAACATAAAGCATATTTTGCTGCCGGTTGGCGATAAAGTATGCCAATAATATCAACATTACTAAATTCTGCTTATTTTCATATTAAATATTGAATGGATGAAATAAACATTTCAGAATGTTTTTTAACTTCTAGAAAACATTAACTTCTACAGAAACATCTTAACCATATACAATAATAAAGTACAAATATACAAATGCAACTACGACATATTATTAGAAATTAGGAATGATTTGAAAACTTATCATGAAGAGAAATTGCAGCTTACAGCATCGAAAAAAGCTTATAGAAAGAAGAAATTCGAACTTATTGAAAAGTACGTTGAAATTAAAGAAGAAAATAATAATAAAAAGTAGTTTTATAAGAATTGAAAGAAATTATTTGTTGGATCCATTGTAACCAGTGACTAAATAATTTGAAAGTAATAAATTTTGTACTTTTACTGGTTAAAAACTATTTATTCATTAGAAGCTGACATGTTTCGATCTATTCGATCATCTTCAAAGCTCTACAAGAAGCCGTACAATTTCAAATTAGTATCAAAAATTTAAAAAATAATCATCAAAAAACATGTTGTTAGACAACAAAGAAAATTGAAAAAGTTATACAAAAATAAGTGTTGAAAAATATAAAATTTATAATTATTATTACTTAAGCAGTCTATTTATTAACTTCAAGTTAACATTTCAAAAAATTTTCTTTTTATACTATTTGTACAGAAAACACTTTAAAACTGCGACGAATACAAGTTAAAAACTCTTCGCCAAATGGTTCAAGAAAGAAATAAAACAAGTTCTTAAAAAAGTAAAATTTTCACAACAAACGAAAAATAATTAAAAATTAAAACATTATTCATTCGTAGGAATTAAAAGAAAACAATTTTTAATTGAACTAAGGAAAGGATTGTCAAATGGGTAGGATTAACTAGAAAGGAGTTGGGAGTAGCCGCAAGGACCCCAAAATCTGCGGATAGTATCTGCGGCTAATTATACTACTCCTCGGTATTTTGGGGAAACGGATTGGATAAACAATTATAAAGTGGTACTTTTGTGTAAAAGACTTGGTCGTTAAGACATTCTACATTATTATTGTTGAACCTGAACCTGTCAATCTCGTACGATTTCAATAAATTAAGCTTAAAACCCTTATTTAAAAAATTAACGCTTTTCACACTAAAATAAAAAAGATTCTTAAAGAATCGAAGGAATTTTTAAATAATAACGACATAAACAATTTTAATCTCTTACCCATGAATCCTAAAACACCTTTGGTATACTCTTTGATTAAGCTACACAAAGATAATAATTATCCCATTAGACCTATTATATCATCTATTGACTGGAGCACATATAAATTATCAAAGTTTTTAATTCAATTTTTCAAATATAAAGCAGACTATTCTATTAGTAACAGAACTGATTTAATCAACACATTACAAAACATAAATTTACTTAAAAACTTCACTTTATTATCTTTTGATGTTACAAACCTTTACACTAACATTCCAATTAATGAAACACTTGATATTGCTAAACAATTGTTAAATAATAAAACAGACTCAATAAGCGCTCAACATACTTACAACTTACTTAAAGCTTGCACTGAACAAAATTTTTGTCAATTCGATAATAAATATTATAAATATAACGAAGGTTTGCCTATGGGATCCTCCTTGACTGGTCTTCTCTCTGACATTTTCCTTAATAAATTAGTTCAGATATGTTGATGACGTCATAATAGTTTGGAATGATGATGGTTATAATTTAATAGAAGATTTTCATTGTCACATCAATAACTTACATAACAAATTAAAATTCACAATAGAAATAGAAACAAATAAAAGAATAAATTTTTTTGATCTTACTCTTATTAATAACGGAGAATCTATCGAATTTCAGATTTTCAGAAAACCAACTCAAACTGACACCATAATACCTTGTGACTCATATCACAATAGATCTCATAAAGCTGCAGCTTTTAGAGCTTATCTTTATAAATGTTTTAATACACCACTTTCTGATAACGAAAAACAAACAGAATTGAACATAATTAGATCTATAGGTTTAAATAATGGTTATGAAATTCAGGAAATTGATTCTTTAATCAATAAATTTTTAATTAAACAAAATTTAAAATCTTCTACCTCCCTTCAACCTATTTCAGATAACAATAAAATATATAAATCTATTAACTACCCTGGTCCGATAGCTTACAATATTCAGAGAATTTTTAAAAAATATAACATCAACATATCCTACAAAAATAACAACACTACACAGAAAATTTTATTTAATGCTAAAGATAGATTAGATATTTTGGATCAAAATGGTGTTTATAAGTTGGAATGTAATATTTGATGTCTTAAAACAAGAATAAAAAAACATATTCAAAGAGAAGAATCCAATTTTGGTAGACATTTAATGACTTATAACTATGAATTTTACATAGACAATGATGCCTCTCTGTTGCATAAACAAAATAAGGGTTTTAAGCTTAATTTATTGGAATCGTACGAGATTGACAGGTTCAGGTTCAACAATAATAATGTAGAATGTCGTAACGACCAAGTCTTTTACACAAAAATACCACTTTATAATTGTTTAACCAATCCGTTTCCCCAAAATACCGAGGAGTAGTATAATTAGCCGCAGATACTATCCGCAGATTTTGGGGTCCTTGCGGCTACTCCCAACTCCTAGTTAATCCTACCCATTTGACAATCCTTTCCTTAGTTCAATTAAAAATGGTTTTCTTTTAATTCCTACGAATGAATAATGTTTTAATTTTTAATTATTTTTCGTATGTTGTCTTTTGCTTTTCATTTCTGATCAGACATGTGTGACATTCTTTCGGAACACCCCATGATGTTATTCTAAAAATACGCCGTTGTGAAAATTTTACTTTTTTAAGATCTTGTTTTATTTCTTTCTTGAACCATTTGGCCAAGAGTTTTTAACTTGTATTCGTCGTAGTTTTTAAGTGTTTTCTGTACAAATAGTATAAAAAGAAAATTTTTTGAAATGTTAACTTTAAGTTAATAAATAGACTGCGTAAGTAATAATAATTATAAATTTTATATTTTTCAACACTTATTTGTATAACTTTTTCAATTTTCTTTGTTGTCTAACAACATGTTTTTTGATGATTATTTTTTAAATTTTTGATTTTTTGATACTAATTTGAAATTGTACGGCTTCTTGTAGAGCTTTGAAGATGATCGAATAGATCGAAACATGTCAGCTTCTCATGAATAAATAGTTTTTAACCAGTAAAAGTATAAAATTTATTACTTTCAAATTAGTTTTATAAGCTTTATTAGCTTAGTTTTAGTTGGTACATTAAAATTTGTGTAATAATCTAATATTTTCTATAAATGTTTCTCAATATCATTATTTTTTATACTTATGAATGAGTAGAAATATTACTTAACAAATTTTCCTGTCTCTTCCCTTCCGATACGTTCATCAAAATAACTTATTAGATAACATTCTTACCAGCCCTTAATAGTTTGAAAGATCTATTAAAAAAGACAATGCCCTCGACAATGAACAAGGTATGTTTCATAAGGAGATGAGCAGGTAGGTTACTAATAATAAGTGGTGGAGAAAAAACATATATACATTTAATTTCAAAAAATCTTTACTGATATTGCCGTCTTTTAAAATAAATAAAATATTGTTATTAAACATATTTTGTGGCACTGAACAGAAACGAAAATCTAATATCTACTACAAATTAAATTAAAAACAAAACACAACACAACATTCTTAAACCAAAATAATACTTCTCGTATAATAACTTTTTAACTCATTTTTCTTCTAGTATTACTAATAAACTATTAGCTTGTTCCTCTTGCTTTTCAGAAGGAAACTTACGTGTTCGCAGTATTCTAGCTCTGATAATAACAGAATGCAATTTAATTTCAATCATTAATTAAACTAAATAGAAAAATGTTACATACAAACCCTTCCAATTATCTTTGGTTATAACTTGTTCGACACATAAGCTGTTTACAACCTTCAAAAGTGAACTATAAGACGGATATTTAGCTCCAAGCTCTATACAAGCAATTGCAGCTGTAGGAACGAATTTTTTTGGTATTGCACTAAAATATCTAGCTGATAATTCCTATAAAAAATAATTTATTAAAATATTATAATCAAATATCAAAATACTCACCTCTATTTCAGTAAAATTTTCGCATGCAGTACAAAGTCCACTTTCGAAATTTGTGATTTCACGCAGAACGGTTTCAGTTATTACAGCACACATTTCATTAGGGGAAACTTTGAATGCAGTTACCAACATACTTTCATAAATATCGCCGTAAAAAGAATGGAATTTATTGAAAAGTGCCAAAATGTAAAGTGCAATAGAATTTGTTACGGCATTGGTTGAGTTAAGAAATTTCGTCACTAAACTCATAGAATCTTCTGTAATTTTTATAAATGTTATTAATAAATTCAAATTGACAATAATCATCATTTACCATCATTATTTTCAAGCTTCTTTTTAATTGACACACAAATAATTTCTACTTGATCTTCTGTTAAAGAATTTTTAAGTTCATTCCGAATTGTTTTCAAAGAAACATGAACATCCACGAAACAGTTAAGAAGCTAAATGGTCAGAAGAAGACAAGAATGTAATAAGAATATTATTCGCTAATTTTAATATCTTAAATTATTGTAAAGTGTACTCATTTTGCAAAAATAAATAAAGCGAAGAAGAATAGGTCGTAAATCAATTAATTTAACATCAAAAATGGCAAACAGAACCAGAACAATTTTGTTTCGTCTCAATATAAACAGTTTATCCGCGTGATGCTACTCTCACGGCTTAGAAACCATGTCTTCTATAAAACTAACATGAAAATAATGGCGCGAATTAATACCAAAACTAAAAGATTGCGTGTGAAGGGCACAAAGCTGTCTTAAGAAATAATAAATTAATTGTTGATGACAAGTTATATGAAGGAAATACTGCAAATCCGGCGACAGAGGGCACTCAAAATAAAAGAACTGTCTCATAAAGATCATCAATTTATGAATTAGAGAAAGACATTCAGAAAGCACCAAAAAATATAAAAAGTAGACCAAACAGACACTAATAATGGATATGAGTATGGCAAGAAATCTAAGAAAATTAAAAAGGAAAATAGAATAAAAGTTGCGACATGGAACGTAAGAGGCATGCATAGTAAAGAGAAAGAGTTAATGGAAGAAACCAAGTATTCGGGATTCGTATTGTTGCATTAACTGAAACCAAAAAGAAAGGTAAAGCCAACTAGCACTACAAAATAATTTGCTGATATATAGAAGAGTTTACAAAAAGGTTAGAGCGTGTTTAGTGATGGAAAAATATTTAAAAGCTGTAAGAGGTTGGGAAGCAATAAATGAGAGGCTCTTGAAGGTAGAGTTGGAGCTAGCAGAAAATGATAAAACTTTTGTAATAGTTCATGAGGACGAAAAAGTAAGCATAAAACGCAAATTTTGAGAGAAACTGCAATCGTTAGTAGAAAATACTAAAGGATGATTATTATTGATGGGTGATCTAAACGAGACGTCATCGGCCCACATGCACAGTGTTAGCAAGTTTGAAATTACCGGCCAGAACATGATTTTACTAATTTTCTTTTTTAACATTTTGGCAAATGGGGATCGTTAGGTTATATCGTAATACTCGCAATAACCACTTTTTATTAACTTCAACTCTGAATAAAAATAACATGTAAAGTTAAGACTTATTTTGTAAATCAATTTCCAAAAACATTTGATTAATATTGATAAACGATTGTAAACATATTAAAAGTTGTACCCTCATGAAATTTCACTATAATTTTATATTGTATGTGTTGTTTATGTAACACTGTAATAGCTTTTTGAATGCTGGATTTATTTATCTTTTTCTCAACACTATTTATAAACAGATTTTATTTGCAATGTTAAATTTTAATTTAAGCTACAAAAAACATCCCACAAGATCCCAGGTTGCAATTTGTTTTTTATGTAGTTTCAAGCCTATACTTTCCATTCCCAAAAAAATAAATTGCGCATATTTCCGCATTTTCAATAAAATGGCTAACATACAGCATGGTGTCTACGGATATACGACATTGAGTACTGAAAGTTAGTTTTGAAACTATCAATCGTTTACAATTTTTCAGAATAACTATTTTTTATAAATTAATATTAGTACTAACTTTGATGATTATAAAATTTAAATACATGAAGATTCCTCTTGATTTTTTATGTATTCACTGTCATTACATTTAACAGAGCAACAATGCTAATGCTGAACAAAGATCTAACTTAGAAGGAAATCAGAATATAACAAAAATGAGACCGAACAAACATAATAATACAAGTATTAGTAACAAGAATAAAATAGAAACCCAAACTCAAACAGAGATCACAGACTTCTTACCACATACAGAAACGGTACATCAGAATAATTCGAACGAGTCAGACATACAAACTGTTGCAGATAGAGATAAAATAAGTAAATTCTATAAAATAAAATATATCTCGACAATAACTAATAAAATTAAAGCCATTTTTAAGAAACATGAATTTCAAGAAATCAAATTAGCACAATATAACAATAATAAATTAACTAATATTTTGAGTAATATGAAAGATAAAATAGATAAGACTGACAAGATTAATACCATATATCAATTAGAATGTAATAACTGTAATAAGGTGTATATAGGTGAAAGTAAACAACAATTACATAATCGTATAAAACAGCATAAATATGATACCAATCAACACAAAATTAATAATAAAACAGCCCTTTGCCAACATGCAATCAAGAATCACCATAAATTTAACTTTGATACGCCTAAAGTGTTGACCACTGAAGGAGATACATTCAACAGAAAGAATATTGAAGCCATCTATATCACCAAAAACATTAACAAGTCAGTTAACTTTAAATCAGATTCAGGAAATATAGGCAGTTATTATGCAGGCATAATAAACAAACTAGATATATGATTAGTTTTTAATTATTGGTAATTTTAGACAACTGATGTTTTAATGATCTCTATAAGAAATATATATATATATATATGTATAAATTTTAATTTTATATTTTGTTGATAATTATGGATATTAGTAAATTTAAATTTGTAATTTGAATCGAATTGTATCGATTTCCGTAGAGCACATTGTTAAATTAAAAACTGGTTTCCGTCACGAGGTTTTCCTTCTTAAAGTCGTTAGGTCCACACGAGCACGTTGAATTACGTTGTATTTTGAAAATATAATAATATAGAAATTTGAGATCATGGAAAATACACAATTTAACGACGAAATTGATAAATTAATTAATAAGGATTCTCGATAAAGGTACTTTTTTTGTTTTATTTATGTCCCCCCCCCTTTTTTTTTTGTAATAAAATAATGTATACCCATGCACGTTCGATTTGTTTTAACGATTTCCATTATGTAGATAATTTTGTCGACGTTGATTTTAATAAATTTTTAGAGCGGTTTCTGATGATGAACTGTTCAAAACAGTTCGAAACGTTAAATGTAATGACAGTGAATAAATAAAAAATCAAGAGGAATCTTCATGTATTTAAATTTTATAATCATCAAAGAATATAAATCCTCTTTAATCATATAATTAATTCTAATCACATTAGTACTAACTTTAAAAATGAGTCACAATTCAGATATCATGTTGTAACCTTCTTCCCAAACAAGTCCGAAGTATTTTTTTAGTTAAAAAATTCCTATCACACGGTAATAAAGAGGATAAACAATGACGCGTTAAAATGCCAAACCAGATGCCTATTTCACAAAAATTATTATCAAGAAATGAACATTACTGCATTTAAAAATAATTCTATGTATGCAGTGCATAAAATTCTTGTGCATGGCCATTTAATAATAAAATCATTAAGTATCCAGATTGGCCTGCTTTCAGAAGATGCGGAAGAAACTCGGGATAAAGACCTTAGAAGTTATAGAGAGAACTTTTCCAGAAAAATGTCAAGAATACACAACAATAGAGACATTTTAAATAAAATTAAAATGAAAAATAATTAATATCTTCAGACCCAATTATAACATCATTTCATATGGGTATTCAAGAAGAAATCAAGGAATAATACAGATTTTTCTGAAGAACTTAGCCTTCTCTGCTTTGAAAATGATGAAGAAAGAAATAATTTTTTATCGTCAATTGCAACTAATACTGAATTTATAAAACACAGTGAGGACGAAGAAAATAGTATGTTAAAGTACTAAATTTGCTTATGGGTTAAAACATAATTTATGGTTATCATTACATTATTAAACATTTGTCACAAATGAACACAGAAACAGAGAATAGCGTAGTTTACTCTATTACTGCAAATAAAATAGTAACAGTATTTTTTAACTGCTATTCTTTCGAAGACATCCATAAGTGCAAAAAAAAATGGGGGTTCCTATTTTAAAATGTCAATATATGGTATCTCAATTTTGGGACCCCTGTACATTTCAATTTTATCTCAAAAAATGCGCGTTAAAAAACATAACATAGATATTCAAGAATTTTTTCTGGAAGAATATCCTCAAATTTTTATCGAATTGATTTCATACTTTATGTACACAGTATATACAGGGTATCTCACGTAACCGGTTCGTTAAAACTTTTTTAGGGTCCACTATTTGTACAGTTTTGAAATTTTGGTAGCATGGGTTGTTCATTCGGAACTTTCGATCTAAAATATTTTCAAGATAGCTGCCAGTTCCGATCTACCGGAACTAGACCATAACCTCGTTATTTTAAATGGAATGCTACAGTTTTTATTGAACCTTTTAATTGTCTTTAATCGTTTTTTAATAGCCAACATATTTTTTTATGTACAATTAAAAAGTGTGATAAAAACGGTAGCATTCCATTTAAAATAACGAAGTTATGGTCTACTTCCGGCAGACCGGAAGTGGCAGCCATCTTGAAAATGTTTTAGATCGAAAGTCCCGAATGAACAACCTATGCTATCAAAATTTCAAACCTCTATGAATAGTGGAACCTTAAAAAGTTTTAACGAACCGGTTACGTGAGACACCTGTATATATTATAGTATATAAGTATATATTACTTATTGTTAGGGTACATGAAATAAATGTGACATGAAATCTGTTGGAATAAAGCATTTATATATTATTAAATTCGACTTATACAAGGTGTTCCGGTGACTCGGGGCATAAAATGAACCTTATATACTAGAGCAAAAATGATGATGATCGTGAAAAAAAAATTATTATAAAAGTCTTCAAATGGCCAAGATGTGGGCCATCAAAGAAAAATCGCCTGCAGATAACAGCACATAGCGCGGTGGATGAGTGCTGGGCTCTCATTCAGAAGTACTAGGTTCGAGAGTTGAACGAACGTTCCTTTTTTCTTTAACTTATTTTGCAATTGTAATTGTATGTTTTTATAGTGTATATGTTTTTTTGTAAGTCAATAATAAAATGCAAAGTTGTAGTTTATATTAATAATATATAAAGATAATGTTTATTGATCGAAAAAAAAGTAATACAAAAACAAAATAAAACGTGATTTTAATTATTGTAAAGTAAAACAGATGCTCAAAAAATTAAAAATATTATGATAAAAAAAATATTATATTTTATCTCCTAATTTATTAAACAAAACTCGAAATTTAGATAATAACTACTCCCTATAATGAAATTTATTTGGTATAAATTAATAGACTTTACGGTGAGCAATAAGTGGGATGATATACAATATAAAAGCAAGAAAAACATAGATGTTTCTTACATACAGCACATCTAATAAATGCACACGCTGTGCAATCACATTTTAATGATTGGATTGTAGAAAAACAAATTTCATTCACATTAGAAAATACCGTTCTGTTCGGTAGTAATTTTGATGCATACCACGCATATTGTATCATTGGTTGAAAAACGGGAGCCGACAATTGATGGTGAATAAGAGAGTGTATTTTTTAGAGTATTAGAGTTAGAGTATTAGAGGGGTGCAGTGGGGAGGAATAATTTCAATAGTTGAAGTGCAATTTCCGTCATCATCAGTAAAAATACTATTAAAATATGCTGTATCTGTCTGACCTCCCCACGAATCTAGAATAAGAAGAAACTTATCCTGCTGACAGTATTCTACAATAATGTTTTTAACAAAACTATTGAAATGTTCTCTTGTTAATTTTCCGGATTTTGAAGCAGTAACAAAAACATTACCGTAATTTTCCGTTAGTTCTTCGATAGTGACGGAAACACGAGGACCAAATATCCCTTTTGGTTCTTGCATACATAAAAATACTTTCGGAAGAAGTTTTCCAGATGCAGTTAACGTGCTGTGTAACTGTGTGTGACTTTATCAAAGTCACCTAGAAAAACATCCACAATTTTTTGTCCTTTCGAGGCTAATGTTCTACGTACGTCAACACGATATTCACAACCTGTTTGATCGGTGTTAATAACATAATCAAGCTGGAAGTTTGCAATTCCTTTCGCTATGCACTTCTGAAATTTTTCAGCTTCTTTCAGTATCGCCGATAAGTCCAATGCGTTAGTTGATTTTAAATAACGTGTCACTTTTCGTTGGCGTATACGATGTAATGCTTTAAATTTTGTTACCCAAGTAGGCGATGCTGTAAAGGCAAACTGTGGTCCTTGGAACTGTACAGCAGCTTGTGATGCCCATTGCTGTAATATTCTTGTTGTTACCGGTCGCATTAGATTCCGAGTTTCTACAAAACGGTCGTATGTCCATTTATTAATCATATAAAATTTTTCTTTTATTCCGCCACCTTGCTCGATCTGTTCTTGCCATTTTTTTAAATCGCTTTTGTTTTTAAGCACACTCCCTCCATTTTTTTGAATTGTTTGCATACTCCACTTTGGATGGTCTGTTAGCATATTTAAAATTTTAATTTTTGTGTCAAGTGATATATAATCACATTTCACTTTTTTCGATGTTTGCGTTGGATCAAATTCTTCTCCACTTTCTTCTGCACTACTTTGCGAAGTAGCCGAAGTACTACCTTGCGATTCTTCTATCACATCTACCTCTGGTATTTCTTCTTGAGGCAGAAATAATTCCTCTTCTTCTGCAAAGTCACATTCTTTCAAAGTCTTTATTATAACTTTTGCAAATTTTTCCCCTAAAATGGATGCCTTATGTGACACTAATTCACTTGCCGGTTCTTTTACAATTTGCAATTTTTTCAAAATTTGAAAACACACTTGCAAACCATCTGTAATATCTTGTTGTTCGTAGGATTGCATAAAAGTATATTTTTCTTCATCCACCGTCTCTTCATGCTTAACACTTGTTGATGGCTGTTTTTTCACTGATTTTGATGCCATTTTCGACAAATCTTACAAAATTTTTGCGAACGATGCTATATAACAGCTAACAAAACGTTTTCAAAATAAAACTATCGAAAATGAATAAAATAATAAAACGTGTTTTCTACGTATATGCATTTCTTTCAAAAAAACAGCAGTACGAGTTTTCATCTTTTATTCCGAAAGAAATAAATGATTGCACACGTGCAGATTTGCAACATGTGGTGTATGTAAGAAACATACAATTTACGTAAATATCCATGTCTGATACTGCCAGTTTTGTTTAATAAATTAGGAAATAAAATATAATATTTTTAATTTTTCGATCGATCTGTTTTACTTTACAATAATTAAAATTACGTTTTATTTTGTTTTTGTATTACTTTTTTTTCGATCAATAAACATTATCTTTATATATTATTAATATAAACTACAACTTTGCATTTTATTATTGACCAACAAAAAAATATATACACTATAAAAACATACAATTACAATTGCAAAATAAGTTAAAAAAAAAAAAAGTTCTTTCGAGTCTCGAACCTAGGACTCCTGAATGAGAGTCCAGCACTCATCCACCATTTTCATTTCTTTGCGGCATATAAACTTAATTTTCAAAGACCTTAAACTTTAAAAATAAATTACGCCTCTTAGAAGGGCCATTGGATCAAAAGCTCTGGTAAAGCTGATACATATTCACCATAGATTCACCACAAAAAAATTCATCAAAATTGGTGAAGAGTCAACTGCGTTGTCTCCTTGTTAGTTAGAGGATAATTCGAGATATAGAAGTTCGAGTTAGGGGAATTTCACTGTAATAACGGATACACTCTGAAGTACCCCAAAACTGTAATTTCATTTTTGTCGTTATCTACGATTGGTTTAACTCTTTTGTGCTTTCTAACAAATTGGCCATAGGTTCTACAATCACTTAATCCTAAACGGAACATGATTAATACTTTTGCTACGTAAACGTCAAATTATTAGTTTTAATACGATAGTTTTTTAAACTAAAACTAGAACTAACACTAGCACTATCACTAGAACTAACACTAGACCTACAACTAGAAACTTTCGGGTTAAGCCGTGCGTTTTTTGAAAAAAGTTGGACGTTTTGGATGCCATGTTGCAACCTTCTTCAGAAACAAGTTCGAAGTGACTTCAGTGTTAGTTCTAGTTTTAGTTTAATTAACACCGGCCGTGAAAGCCTTCGTACTTATACGATAGTTTTTGTTTCTTCGGTTTGGTTGCTTCAAACCAAAGCCAACTGATAATTTTAAATTTACAAATAATCAAGAAAATTTCATTTTTTTTTAAGTTTCTACGAAAACCGTACATTTTAGGTATAAAGATGTAATGATAAAGCTCTACAAATTGGGGTTGCCATGTAAAAAATGAAGATTTCGACTTTTCGAGATAGCGAAATGCGGCGCAAATTTGTGACCAGCTGTACAATTTTTTAAAAAACGTTTATGTAAGCTATGGTCCTCTCTGTGCAAACTATGAGAATATTTGGCCGGACTCGAGTGTAATTTCGAAAAATTATTTTTATCGTGAAGGATTGCATCTGTCAAAATTTTCGAAAAAACTGAAATAATTAAAAAATGGTGCACTGTAAACATATGATGGAAAAATTGGTGTATTCCATTTAAAATAACGAAATAAATTTCCGATATAACCGGAAGTTGGAGAAAATTGAAAATATTTTTGCTGAAACGAGCACTTCGGGTAAACCCTGTATGCAAATTTCCACAAAAATAGTGCTAGTAGTTTGTCATATATATATATATATATATAGACTCAGTTCGTCGTGACAGACCCTGTACACAATACTTAAATTAACAAAATGAGTACATCTCACAACAGTATCAAAAATCTTTTATATTTACGATTGTAAATGATTCCATCGATTTCAACGTTGTCAAAATTTGGCATAGTCCATCGGAAAAACTATCATACATTTCGTGTATTGACGACATTCCTAACTCATTTTGCAAATATTTATTAACTTTTTGACACAAAAAGTAAGCCTCGTATTCCAACTCGTTAACAACCACTTTTTCATTACACTCATTCAACTGTCTTAATGGCGTAAAAATTTCATTTTCCATGGGAGGATGGAATTTTCTTAAAGCCGCTAATTTCGCTAAAACGCCGCTAATGTGGTATTGAACGTTATCGTTCCATGTACTATGGAAGTCGGACTCATATTCGGCTAAAACTTTCTCAGTTATGCATTGAACTGTAGCTGAAGATAATGTATGAATTGGACTTGATTCCGATGAAAAGTGACGCAAATTTTCGCTTATCGATAACAATAACATTTTATCATTTGTGTGTTCAAATAATTTTGGGTACAGTTTAATTATTTGGTACAATTTATCGTGAAATTGGGTTAAGTTTACGTCGTTGAGTGGTATTTTGTTCATTATCAATAATAGATTATTTAAACATTGTGTTTCGGTGGAATATTTTTGGAATAACCTGTGTAAAGAAGGTAGTATTTGATTAAGGATTTCAACCACCTCTTCGGGGTTATAAGAGATTTCTTTGGAATCAACTCTTGGTTTTAATGATGTTCCAGTCATTTTAATGATAACCGCATGGGCAAAAATTTCCAATAAAACAACTTCTTGATTAAAATCTAAATCTAGATCATTTCTCAATGACATTTCAGTTATCATTGTAAAATCGGAAAGTTCGTGTGCCTCATCGATTATCGATTCAACAAAATCTTCAGGCACATTTTTATACTAAAATAATATTTCAAATAATCTTGAATTAATCACTTAATTAAACACTTACCATTGGTAAACAAATGCGATAATTTACCATATCAATTAATATTCCTTTAACATCAGCGTTGATTTTTCTCTGAGAAAGCATAAAGAATTTCCCCGCTTCTTTAGCAAGAACACAATTCTTATTATACATAATGGGAAATAATTTGGATTGGAGTTCTTCAGAAATGAATGGGAAGTACCTATCTTTGAAAACAATTAAAATTATTTCATTATTTTGTTAGGAAAAAATTAAATTAAAATCACCGTTCCGTAGCTGCACATAAAGCTCTCAATGCACTTGCTCCTATTTTAAGATTCTTCGCCAACGTCATTCCATACAATTCATGAATTATCTTGGAACTATTAACTTCATTAAAAATATTTCGCTCATCTTTTAACATCTTTATTACTGACTCGATAAGTATTAATGTTATTTGATCAGTCTAAAAACCAAATTCGTAGAAAGTTGTGGCGAAAAAAGTCAAGGGATGTTGAGAGGTGGGGATAAAGAGCGGGATTTAAAGATTTTGTGCTAAAAGAGCTAACAAAGTCTTGTTCTTTAATTTAATATTGTTAAGTACAACTTAATTTACTGAAATATGTAAGAATGAATAATAAATTGAAATTTAATTAAAAACTAATTCGCAGTAATTCTATATGAAAATAATTTGGAAAAAGATTTCAGAAATCCCCAAAAACAGATTATACGATCTGACCAGATTTGACGCAAGGCCAGAGGGACCGGAAAGGTGTTTCAAAACCAATGCTCGAGACCCAATTCATAAATTTGCGACAAAACATCATTAAAACATGATTAAAACGTCACATTGAAAGGATGCAATGACTTTTCGTGCATTTGACGTAGTTTTCAATACTCCAGAAACGCAGATATGTACTTGAATGGTCATTATAATTTTGGATATTGATGCCGGATTATGCGCATCGTCGTTGTTTACGAACTTTCTTGGACTTTGTGCAACATTTCTAACAGAGACGGTATGCACGAAACGTTCAGCTAAATGCTTAATTGTACTTAACAATCGAAAATTGGGGAATTAAGTAGTAAAACTAAGCTTGTCATTATTTCCAAAATTATCAAAATGTGTCTAATCACTTTTTGAATACTTTTGCAGATTCCCAGACGACACTCAGAAATGTCAAAAAATCTCCAAAAGCTTATTGATGTTTTTCCTACACTCACCAGATATTTTCAAAGATTCCATAATCTTTAAAAAGTGTCTAAATGCTTTCTGGGTACTTTTCGAGATTCCCAAACGACACCCGTAAATGTCAAAAAGTCTCCAGATAAAACATTTCCGTAGCCCAAATAAAAAAACAAAATGTAAATTTTTGGTCGCTCATAGCTCGAAAACAAAAAAGTTACGACCCTATGTTTATGCAGTGCGTCCCAAAAGTAACGGATAAATTCGTTAAAACAATTAAAATTGGTTTATGGAAAGATCGCTAATACGTTTCTAAGGTTTTAAATTTTTTATCGCTATTTTTTTTAATGGCAATCCCCAATTTTGATTACGAAATATGAAAGAGGATTTTTTTCTGAATTTGGTACAACTAAAATTAATATTAGCTATATACCAAATTTTAGAGAAAAATTACCTTAAGCTTTCATGATTTTCCATTCATTTGAAGTAGACAAGTAGCAGTAGCCATGCGTAACCATGGCAACCAGTTGTTTCAGATATTTTATTAAAACAATGATTAATTTTTGATATTTGAAACAGTTTGTTGCCATGGTTACGCATGGCTACTATTTTTCTATCTCAATTGAATGGAACATAATGAAACTTTAAGATACTTTTTCTCGAAAATCTTCTCATGTAACCAATATTAATATTGACTATACTAAATTCAGAAAAAAGTCTTCTTTCATATTCCGTAATACAAATGGAGCACTACTATTCTATACCAAACAATTCCAAAAAATCTAAATCTTTAGACCAGTCTTGGCGATTTGTCCATAAATTGTTTTTAATTGTTTTAACGAATTTATCCGTTACTTTTGGGAAACCATGTATAAAAAACTTGTGTTATTTTTACAACTGCTACGCCCTTGTAAAGTTTCCCAATTAAAATCTGAACTACGCTGTATATAACATTTTTGGAATTCGGAGAAGATCAATCTTAGTTAATAGATTGAAAATTATAGATAAGTTAGTGGCGATAAAACATGATAGAAACTGGATACTGGGATAATAACTGTAGTAAAGACAAAAACTTTAGAGGAGACAATTGCAACTAAAGAGATAGCCTTATGTTCTTTCATAGACATAGAGGATGCTCTTGATAACACCTCCTATGAATCCATAGAGATATACATTAGAGATCCATTTAGAGTATCCATAGAGAATACTCTAAACGTTAAAGATATACATCCATCGAAAATCAAATCAAGTATAGCTATGTTGAAAAATTGGCAGATCGCAGCCAGTCTAGGAGGCGAGCCGTTGATTATTAAGGCGCAAAGAGGATGTCCTCAAGGGGGAGTGCTCTCACCTCTCCTATGGTGCCAGTATTCAGGGGTATGCTGATGACCTGGTAATCACAATTCGAGGTAAATATGACACAATCATAACTCAAGTAATGCAGAAAGCCCTAGTATTCACCAGCCCGTCGTTCAGAAGCAATGGGCTCAGCATCAATCCAAACAAAATCGAAATAGTCTCTTTCACTAGAAGAAGGAAGCTACAATTGGGAGAAGCCTTCATTGAAAGCAGAACTATTAACCTCAAAACCAAAGTTAAATACCTAGGAGTAATTAGGTACTTAATAATAGGCCATTATGGCTAACCAGATCTGCCGCAGGCTTCTCGGAAGGAACTGGGATCTCAAACAACGAATGGCAGACCCATGGTCGCCTATGCCTCGCTGGTTTGGTGACCAAAAACAAATCATAAGACAGCACAACAACAGCTGGCACAAATCCAGCGGTTAGCATGTCTTAATGTAATGGGTGCAATGAGATCTTGTCCGACGGCTGCTCTTGAAGCCCTACTCGGTCTCACACCATTTCATTTATACAGGCTGTTTCAGGTTTTTGTAGCAGGACTTTAACAATCGGTAGATCTCTTAAAATTAACACAAAAACTTCATATAAACATAGATCGACAAACGCTTTGTTTTGGAGATACAGGGTGTTCAAATAAAATTTTTAAATTAATTTTTTTTTTATTTCAACCGATTTTATTCAAATTTGGTATACGGAGGCTTTTTGGCATGAGAAAAACGATTATGGAGTCCGTTTTACTATAGCCGATACTGATTAAAATAATAAACCTTTACGGATTAAAATAATAATAACTTTTCTGACAGTAATTCTTATTCTCGTTACTTTTCTAAGCAAAAACGGTACTCTTATCACAATATTATCATTATATATTATCAAAACGTATATAAAATGGGTACTTTTATCACAATGCGCTTACATTGATCGTTTTCAAGAAAATCCGCTTATTATTCGATACAGACCATTTTTTTGAGAGGATTGTTAATGATAGGTATAATAATGTTTGCCATAGATAAGAAAAAAATTAAAGAAATTGGTGATAATGTAAACCATTTTGCTGGATACATAATTCTGATCGACGAATGACTGATCGAATAATGGTATTTAAGAACGGCCTTATGTCATTACAAGCATTCCTAATCCTATAATAATACATAAGTCCATCCCTTGTGGGAACAAATGTCTCATACACTTTTCTTTTCAAATATCCGCATACAAAAAAGTCTAAAGAATTAAGGTCCGCAGATCGTGGGAGCCATACAACTGGTCCATCACGACCAATCCATCTTGCAGGAAAATGGTTGTCTATTCTATTTGTTACCCTACCATGATGAGCTAGACAACCATCAAGTTGAAAGCAGGCTTCTTCTTAACTCTAAATCAATATTATCTCACATAGTGGCATGTTCGGCTTCCAAAAATTGCAAGAACGCCGCAGCATTTAGTCGTGATGGCAAAATGTAAGGCCCGAAAATACCTACCCAGACGTTGACTCTAAATTCATGTTGGAAATTTCGTGGCCGAATTGAGTGGGAATTTTCATGCGCCCAAACATGTATGTTATGAAAGTTAACAATTCCGATTGTTATTAATAGTCCCGATCTCGATTGTTGGCTGTTGCATTAGCAATCCAACGACAAAACGTAACACGCCGTTTTTCATAGCCTGGTAGTGGATCTCTGTAGAACTCACGGAAAATTCTTCTTCTAAAATTTCTTTGCAGCCTCCCATCATTATTTAACCCTTGTTCAACTATTTGTTTATGCACTTTCACAAACACAGAAGGATGCAGATGTCCTCTATTGGGATATCTTCTCCTATACTCTCGGACTACAAAATGAATATCCGCTAACTCTTGGTTAGGAAAAATAAACGGCATTTTATAAAGTTTGAAGTGTTAAGGAAAAAGAGTAAAAGGACTCTGCACTGAGCAGAGTGTATCACCAACCCGAGAAAAACGCTAGGGGCAATGATGTTACTCTATGGTGGTTTCCAACTCACAGAAACATTGATGGCAAGGGGAAGGCGGACAAGCTGGCCAAAGAGGCAGCGAAAACGCCCTTTATTGAATCCCAACCCGGTTGTGGACTACAAAAACGCCACCTGAAGCAAGTAATCAACAGTTGAAAGGCCTGAAAGGTAGCGTTACGCTGGAAAGAACTTCGAGGTCACAGACAAGCGAAGAGTATGACAACTCTTTGCCCCTAAAATGCGCCCCTAAAATACCAGCTCTTCCACATTGGACAAGCTGAGGACCAAACTTGTCGACTTTGCAACGATGAGTCAGAAACGGCTGAACATATGTTGTCAGAGCTATGTGAATGCGTCGCCAGAGGCCGCCTAAGGCACAAAATTTTACCGGTGAGAAGTTAGCAATAGATTTCTCTCCTAAAAATTATTAACAAAAAAATAATATGTAATAATATAATGTAAACAAATAGCTTTGGTACTAATAACTGCATAACAAAACTTATAATCACATTTTTTGTAACTAGGTATATCAATCTACCAATTTTATAAAGGTTGAAATTTTATTTCACAGCCTCATTCCCCATGCCCTAAATGACAGGAATCCGCAAAAAACCCGAGACACTCTTTTCAGATCAGGCTTAACAAAAATCCCATCGTTTGAAACGCATATAACACTCGTACCTAACATGTACAGGGTGGGCAAATTTGGGTGTTATTATAGGCTATCTCAGAAACTATAAGAGATACGAAAAAAGTAGGTGCCATGTCTCGGTCTCTTTTTCCGAGACTAATCCAATCCCGCAAGGACCAAATCTCTATCTTCTTTTGTTTTTAAGTTATAGCGAAAAAGTCAAAGTTTAGCGATTTCAAAAAATGCTCATATTTCGTTTATTTTTGAAATTAGAGAAACGGGGTTAATACATTCTACAGGCACTTTTTTGAGTATAA